TTATTGCCCTTTTTATTGTTATGGTAAATATATTTGTTGATAAGTGTTTTTAAGATGAAAATGTTGTCTGTCGTCCTACATTCACATCTAAATCCAAATTGGTTATTTGAAAGAATGTTTTTTTGTTCTAAGAAAGAAGTCAACCTATTATTCAGAATACTATTGAATAATTTTCCCAGACAGCTAGAGATAGCTATTCCCCTGTAATTTGACGGGGAGGACTTAGATCCTGATTTGTGTATGGGTACTAGAAGGCTCGTACTCCAAGACTGAGGGTAGGTATTTGTGTTATAGATCATATTGAAAAGCTTATGTAATGCATCTACAAAATAATGTTGGCCATATTTCAACATTTCGTTACAAATTTCATCCTCGGCAGTGGATTTATTATTTTTAAGTAAGTTAATGGCTTTCCTAATTTCATTTTTAACAATTGGCGAGTCTAACACTGTGTTGTACTTGGCCTTCTCTTTTTTCTTTTTTTATGAATATGGAGCTAATCCCTCTGTTAGACACATAACTAGGATGCATCATAGGAGGACCCTGAGACAACTAATTCATTTTTGTCTGCGGAGAACCACACTGTGCAGAATGTTTGTGGCGTTGTTTCAGTGTTAGGATTTACAATTCAATATAAATCCCACAATGCGGCATTGACGTCATTGCAAAAAACTGACTACGGTTGTGGGTAGTATTTTTAAAGATATTGAAATCTGCAATCAAACACAATGTTTCGAAAAATAAATTTAAAATCTCCTAGTAAATTTTGTTGGCGTGAAACTATATAGATTGAAATATTGAAAAAATATCTCCAAATCCGGAGACATTTACTCTATTTTTCGCAAAGTTTGACAGTTGAGCAAGGTTAACCGAGTCGTGACCTCGATGTGGTTCGTAACCAGTCTTGTGATTGGTTGTTGACAAAATGCTGAACAGGCCACGCCTCCAACTGTGCCATGCGTTTGGGCAAACCGTTAGGAATTCCTAAATGGAGTCAATTTGTGTAGTTTTCTTGATTTATTCTGCAGATATCAGTAAAATATAGGTAAGGCTTTGGCGAAATTTGAAAGAGCAACTAATATTCTTCAACCTGGTATTATTTATAGATTTTATTTTTCATTAAGTTCATCTGTTTTTTCCAGTTTAAAAAATATGAGCTGGCTGGAACCTTCATCCCTTGTCTATTTCTTACACTAGATACCAGCCGATACCCCCCCCCCCCCGCTCATAGGGAGTTCGTACAGTTGATCATAGTTCCTGGGATCCCTGTGGTGGCCCTTAGCCAGTACTCAAACATCACATCCTATAATCGAACGTGTTTTAATGGAGAATTTTATACAGAATAATAGACTGAGACAGGGATCATAGTTGGAAAATACCTGGCGAACTGGAGAAGATCCAGATTCCTGTGAACACCAGAATCGTCTGGTTCACAATCATGTTCATCATAATACGATGCCATTGTACAATATCACCAGAAATAACTACTTCAGTAAGAGACGTCAGTCAAAGTACACGTCTACTATCGCCGACAAGCTGAAAATACTAATTTAGTAACAGCGTTCAGATCAAAACTGCTGTTGAAATCGTGACAAAGCACCGTATCAAAATATAGGCACTTCCGCTTCCGGGTCAAATCTGGTTTTCAACATGGCGGATGCACCGAGTGATGCTTCTCTTCCTGTAGAAGAAGATGTTGAAAAACAGCCGAGTAAAAAAGTTGAAGATGGTCCTAAGGCACCAATGACCAAAGGTAATTATGTCTTTATTTCCTGATTACACGAATATACTTATTTATCGAGTATATCTGTAGTCGTAACAATAACGAATTTGAAATTATTCATAATCATTGATTAAACGATGTTTTGAGATCATAAAGCTGAATTATACGTCACATAGACTAATACTCAGTATTATTTTGTATTCTTAAAAATTAATATAAGTTAATAACATGTGCTAGTGTGTTGATGTATTCATACAATGACCAAGCAGATAACTTGGAGCCTTAAGTTTTGATGTAAGGGGCGTGGTTGCATATCACATTCACAGGCGCTCGGAACGTTTCTTGGCTAATAAAAAATGACCTAAAGTAGGATCGGCATAGTTAGTCAGTCGCCGGTAAATTCCCCTACTACTCATATAATAACACAAGGTAGGAAAGCGTTGACACCATGACATCGAAACTTCCCGAAAATAACACGATCTTCCAAATTATATATCGATCC